CACACAGCTTGCATTTCGTTTTCAACATCATCAAGAAGATAACATCTGTAAATGACAAGTGTGAACAAGATGGCTTGAGCCTTGAGGTTTTCTTCTTGCACAGGTGAAAATTATCATCATGACCTCTACTCGCTTGTGTTTAATGGTCTTTGTTCAAAAAAGTAAAGAAAAAAGTTGCATTGATATTAAATAACTTATATTTTTTAGAACCCCTAAGTCAAATCTATACATTCAAGGACTATATCATCATCATTTAATTTATGTCAGAACCCATATGCAACAGAATTAAGTACTGCTTAAAAATCTTACTAATATCTGTCTCTGCCAATATTAAGTCAAACAATGTTTAAGATCTGCCAGAATTGATATCATACATACAGAACTTAAAAGACCATTAACTGGACAGACCAATTACATCTGATTCTTCATTAATATAATGAATGCACAGAACTGCAAAATGTTTATTATCATAAGCGAAAATGGAGAACAACCAGCTTAATAACCAAAGAAATCCTTAAAATATCATTCTTTGGGAGTATTAAGCCATCACATTTTACATCATACATAAATATCCTCAGAACTTAGTAGAATGTACATAGTTTAGAGGCAGCTTGGTGGGATTACAGAGCCGGAACTCCTCCCCCCTGCATTTCTACAAAAAGATTCTGCCTTTATTTTTCCATACGTCAGCTTTATGTTCTTTAATCCAATTCCAGTGCATGGATTTTTCTTGCTACAATCAAATGTCATTGCTACTTTTGACGCTGATGAGCCTTTGATGTTGCTGAATGATACATCGCTGATCTTAATGCCCGAATGCTGATTAACATAGAAACAACATAAAATTGTATTAGGTCGGCGCTTGACAACACTTACAAACACCAAGGTTTATACATTCAGGAGGAAGAAAAGAATCTAGTATATGGCCAATTATGTCTGTATTCAGTTCTGTATCATTTTCCAAGCATATGTGGATATCCAACACAGTGTGACAGATAAACTATTTGAGGTATTTTCAAACATATATGAATACGTAAAATATATTTGAATGCATATACACTTACGTATTAGCCAACATATTACATCAAAAACTAATCATTGTATCTGTCATTTTCACATAGAAAATACTTAGTCCTATTAATATCTGCTCAGCTTTAGTCTGACTACTTATATCCAGTATTTGGCTAATACTCATATCGGTCCAATACATATTTGTTTATCAATTACCAGATATCCACCTCTGTATTTAAAAAAAATTCAAACCTCGGATCCCTATCTACTAACAAATAAAAATGTGGTAATTAAACCAAGATCCGATCTGACTATACATAAAGAGTATATAAAACAAGCTATCTTATAAATATAAAATTCTCATTATTTTACCTGATTTGGGCAATTAATCTTGCTAGGGCAATAATTCTGATCGATGATAATAGGATTACGAACGTTATACATGACTGAATGCTGAAAAGTGACTCCCTTCACAAAACCTGTACTCGGCTTCCCCCATGTTTTGATCCTGAGCCCATTTTGTGTGCCACTGAACACGACGGATTTCACCGTTATGTTCTGAACACCCTCCTCTTTTCTAACGTCTCCCAAGCTCCCAATGCTGCAACCAAGAATGAACGAGTGCGACTTCTGCTTAGTTTGATAAGTTCAATTTATAAAAAAAAAAGCCTCTCATTTATGATCATTAATGAAACTGTTTTCTTCTAGTCCCGATTCTATCTCATTTTCATATTTGCATTTTATATTAGGCCCAAAAACCTTCATATTTGTAATTTACTGCGCAAGTTATTATCAATAACACCCTCATATTTGTATACATAAAAAAATCCATTACATTGTTTAAAATAGAACTCCCATTTCGAGGATTTAGGGATGTATTTACAAATATGAAATCCAGGACCTAATATAAAATTAAGATGGAATGAAGAATCTAAAATGAAAAGAGGGAAAAAAACAATTATTAACGGTTTATGTTAGGATTGAAAACGCCCGTTAAGAAGATGGACTTGGCTGATCTACTTAAGCCTAATTGATTCAAAATGATCTATCTAACTATCATCTTACTCCTTTCTCAATATAGAACTAAATCTCACTGCATGTTTTTTTTTTTTTTTTTTGTTCCTAAACCGAACTCTCACTTAACTGAATGGATGTGAGATGCTCTCTACAATTTCCTTAACAGCAGGTTTCTTGAAAAAAAAGAGTGGTGAAATCTCACCTAATGCCATGTCCAGGTCCACAGTAAACATGATCAATCCACACATTTTTCACTCCAGCCTTCATTGCAATACAGTCATCACCAGTCTTTATGACTGTTCCTGTGATTGAGACACCAGAGGAGCTTTGGATGTGGAACCCATCAGTATTTGGGCTCTCTTTTGGTGCAATAAGCCAACTGTTTCTGATACTGATCTCACTGCTTGATTGGATTGATATGTGGAATAGTTTGCTGTTGACTGACGTTAGGCCGCTGATCACCACGTTCTTTGAACTGGCTATGGTCAATGACTGCATGAGAATGGAAAGGTTAGGTTATAAGGGGTAAATATGAGGGTTAATTATAGAGAAACACCCCATGAACTTTTCATCTGTTTTTTTCAGAGTTGATGATACTAATATGGAGATTAATTAATGACAAATTTTCAAGTAAGATTTAGTGCAATAAAATAGTTCATGGGGGTTATGTGCAACTCTCTAAAAGTTCATGAGGGTTTAATGTCATAAAAAAGTGGATCGGGGTTTACCGTAACGCCTCAAAGTTCATGGGGTTTTCTATAATTAATCCTAAAAAATAATATGGGTAGATTTTACAAAACTGAGAGGTTTTGCAATAAATGCTCCTAAACTTTTTGTAAATTAGAGAAAATCTTCTTGAACTTTCAAAATTATACTAATTCCGACTAAATAGAAGGTGTTAGTGGGGATAGAGTAGAATGTCTAATTTACCTATTCTGACCTGACAAGGATAGTATACAAGCAAGATAAGGGTAAAATGTCTAAAACTTACTCCACACGGAGCACGTGATAAGTTTAAGTTAAAGCCATGAGCCATGATAGTTAGATGCAGTGGCGGAGTCAGAATTTTTTTCTTGGAGGGGCCTAAAGTACAATCACTGTACTATATATTAATAAAAAAGCGATCAAAGATGATAATATTTATAAAATTTCATGTGTTAATTGCGAACAGACCTGCTTCTACAGTATCACCAAATTACAAATAGACTTATTGTAGTTCTATACTTCTATTTGTTGTGAATAGAGCTCTTAAGTGAAACTTTTTTCTATTAAAATCCTTAAAAAGGTTCGAGAAGGCGAATTGACTTATTGTTCTATTGGTGAGGATAGACCTCCAACTGCTAACTTTTTTTTACTTTTAAAAGAGTAAAAAAAAAGTTCACTAAAGTGGTGTGTTTGCACTTGGGCCAACACTGTATGGGGTCTATTCGCAATAGGGTGATTCTGCAAGGAGTCTATTCGCAATTTATCCAATTTTCATATATGTAAGTACCTGAAAGAAGAACCCAAACAAAAGTTTTTACAAATAAATGTTTTTTTCATGAATACTTAAATCATTTCAACATATACACCCATCATGGAATCAACATGCTTCAAGCTTATAAAATTTTTATTTTAAATGTGTCAATTGTAGTTAGTTTTTCCATAATCACAAACTACATCTTATAGACTTTTTGAAGACCTTTTAAATTGAGTGACAATATATTATAAATTATACCGTTACACTTAGTTCATACAATAAAAGTAAAAAAATAAAGCAATTTTAGCTATCACATTTATAAATAGTTGCTTACATGAACATAGAAAGCTTATTTCACATATCTACTTGCTAATGTAAAATTTTATTAAATTGGAAGAACTCTATTTCACAATTTCATCACAAGCCGTACACCCATATGAAAATATAACTCTCGTTTCACAATTCTACTGCTAAACTCAAAATTATGTGTAAATTAAAGCCTCATTTTCTTATTCTATTCGAAATACAAAGAAAAACACATATGAAGTGTGTGTTTTACTCAAATCCATCGATTTTGATCTTAGTTTGGTAGATTTTGATTAGTTTGGTAGATTTTAATTAGTTTGGTAATTACATATCTTGATTAACCACTATGCAATGATGGTTACCAGTTTAGGTGGTTAATATAACAAATGAACTAATTTTAAATATTCCAGAGATTTGAAGAACTAATTTCAGGTATGCGAGATTTCGGGGACTAATTTCAAATATGAAAGATTTGAAGGATTAATTTCAAATGTTAAAGGTGTGAGGGACTAATATGGGAAAAGCTGGTGCATGTGTAAAATTTATTCGGCAAAACTGGGGCTCCGCGCCTTCGCTAATGGATGAAACAACTTCAAAGGTGTTTCTTTCTTTGATTTACAAAATTTTTCTTGGGTGGTTTTCATAAATCATCTAGAATTCAGGGGGTTTCCTAAATTTTGCGCACACAAATATATAGTAGATATAGATTTAGGTTACTTTGGAGATTGAATTGTAGAAACTGGCAAGTTCTGATGAAGGACATAAAGTTATGTCCTTCATTGGATTTAGTTGAAGAAACATGGTTTGGGTTATAATAAAAAAATTCTTAAATAGATGGTTTGTAGTTAAGGCTCAACAAAAGCAATGACAATTTATTTTAGCTAGATCATAGCACTATATTTATTATAAAGAGCGAAGTCCCAGCTGGGATATGCTGTGGAACATGTTTAATTATTTATTTACCTGGTGCAAGTGGATTAGGTTCCTTATCTAGGTGTCTTTTTTTTTACTTTGTAATAATTGACTAATTTAAAATGTAGACCAGAAGGTTTTAAAAAAATATAGACGTTAATAGCAACTATATATATTTAACAAACTTATAATTAAGCATTCATATTAACAGCATTTAGTACTAATCTTTAGCAAAGAGATGATTAATATGTCTAAGAATTGACTCATTGTGACTAACAGAAAAAGGTAAATGAGGGTCCATGCTACTCCATCCCCCTATCTAGAGTTGATGCTAGTATATATCCAAAATATATGGTCCTATATTGATGATTTAGTTTACCAAATAAAATTAAGAAGAAGTTATAATTTAACTTGTAATCACACCAAATAATTAATACACTAATTAAGTTTACGAATAGAGTAGTACTGCAAAAGTGAACGTACTATGGCTCCAATAGGGCAACTCCTCCTAGCCATCTTGCAAGCCCACAAACTCTTCCCCCTCCCGTCGATTGTCCCTCCAAAGATCCCCACATTATCCACGTTCTTAAGATACAACCACTTCAGTGAAGAATCATAGCCGTACTTGGCCACGATCGTCCCTTTGATCAAAATCCTTATAGCAGGACTCTTGCACGGACCCAAGAACGAAGCTTGGCTCACTAAGAAAGTCCCCTTCGGAACGTAAATGATGGAAGGGCTTCTTGAGCTGCAGGCTTTCGCCCATGCTGTCAAGAACGCCTTGGCTGAGTCAGTTCGGCCGTCGGGTTTCGCACCGAAGCGCGTCACGTCGTAGGCTGCCATTGATAGGGTTGAGGAGAGGATGAGAGGGAGGAGGAGGAGGAAAGTGTTGGGGTTTGCCATTGGAATATATGCTGGAGTACTGTGTTTGAGTTGGTGAGGAGAAGATGAAGAGGGTTCGTGGTGTATTTATAGGATATATAAGTGAAGGTGATTGAATGCCAATACTACTGATAGAAAACCAATGAGATGAATGTACAGTTAATTGCAACTTGCTGGCTCTCATTGTAAATGAAGTGTTCGAGTAAAAATTATAATCCTTAAAATTTAGCATATATAACTTCAGAGGTTTGGTGTGGTGAAAGCGATATTTACCATTTTCGAATCTTGTTGATCATGAATCTAAAGGTGGTTTGAAAAACATACTGTTGCAAGCCCATATTTTGACTTGTGAAAGTATAGGCTCACATGGAGTATAAAATTATAATGCCAACTCTCATCATAATTTCAGAGGTTAATTTAGTGCATTAAAGAGTATTTAAAGTAAAAACAAGGAACTTGTTATTATGGCTTTTATTTTGCAGACGACTAGAATTAGAAAACTCCAAGCAAGTAAATTTCCTTATTCTCAGTCCTCCAGCCTTTTGTATTGTCCGCACTGTAAATGTTAATTACTTTTTTTTTCCTTTTAATAAACTACATGTTGAAGCATCTGTTCAAGCATTTTCTTAAAAAAATTGTGAAGACTTTGCTTATCACTTATGTTATCAGTTATGGCTATATATCACTAGGTTAACTTATAAAGCAACCATGTGAGGCATGTTAGCATGCAATTAATGCATAGATTCCATCTCGTACATACATTGTACTTGAGTAAATCAAACATCTCTGATTTGTTTACTAAGTTGCAACTTGGATTTATTATTAAGCGGTTACTGATCGATTTCATTGAGAAACTCTTCAAATGATGACTTTAATGGTGTTATCATGTGATTATAATTTTTGTAATGAACATTGGAAGAGTGCCCATATGGCTGAGAGGTGATGGGATCTTCTTAGAAGTTAAAGCGTTGAGTGGCAAACATGTTTTTGTGTTTAAGGTCTTCTCATTAATTGATAGTCTTTTTTTTTGGGCAATTAATGGAAAAATTAGCTATGGTTTAATCAAAATATTCAAGGAAGGTATATGGGAAAATTGGATAATTTTCACAAAGCTACCTTGAACCTTAAAATAGCTTGGCACGAAATCCACATACATTTCTATTGGAAAGAACCATCATGAACTTTTTCACTAAACCATAATGGAAAATATAGGTAAGTCATCCAGTGCTTTACATGTTACATGTCTTAGATAGTTTTATCTCTATGTAATTTGTATATCTTTAATATTTTCCTCTCATTTCCTATTGCAATGATGATTTTGACTTTCAACCAAACCATTAATTAACACTGTCAAAAGTAGGGGTGTGCACGGTTCGGTTCGGGTCGGTTTTTACCAAAATTTGAACAACCGAACCGAACCGCCTATAATTCAAAACCGAATCGAACCGTTGCAAGTCGGTTCGGTGCGGTTCGGTTCGGTTTGTTCGGTTCTAACTTCATCAAGTAGCAGCCGAGTATGCAAGGATGGGTACAGAAAGTAAATTTACAAAGTAGTGATTGTTTCATTAAGGGTAAAAAGAGGAAGGATCAATCAGACATAGTAGCGATGAACACACAACTACATAGTACATAACACAACTTACAATTAGTAATAAGCAGTTTGAAAAGGACGTTACAAGAAGATGCAGGTGCAGGCAAAACTAGATTGAAACAGTAATAGAGTGACAGTAACTACTCTTGACCATGGAGCCAACCAATATGCAACTAAGGGCTTGGATTAATTGATGTAAATCTACTTCTTGTACAGCACAAAGATTGAGAAATTAATAGGAAAGGAAAGGGGAAAAAACCTCAAGGTGGGTTCATCCACTTCCATGTAGGTTGCAAGCTTTCCAACAGATATGGTAGAATACAACTTCAGGAAACTACGTGCACTTGCTAGTAGCTGTTGTTTCTCAACTTCATAAAGGAACAATTTCAGCTGTAGCCTGTAGGCATCCTGTGTTAGCCAGGGCACAAACGTAAGCTTATGAAACAAAACAGAACAAACAGCAACTTAATATAACATCGGTCGGTTCGGTTCGGTTCGGGTTGAAAAGTTTTCAACCCGACCCGAACCGCCCTAATCATAAAACCGCTTATTTCGGGCCGGTTCGGGTCGGTTCGGTCGGTTTTTTCGGTTTGAACCGAACCATGCTCAGCCCTAGTCAAAAGCTCATGGTTGTTTTCTCGTTTAAAAAAATTATGGTAGTTTTATGCAAAATTCTATGAAGTTGATGATACTTTTATGAAATACATGTTATGCTTAGCGAAAATTTCGGCAGCACCTCGGCGCAACAAGAGAGTAAGATCACAATAGGAATTCCCGATTCACCAAGAAAACAAGAACCATAAGCAAAATATCTCAACAAAGTGGGATATCAGCTCTTCCTCTCATCAATTCTAGGACTGACCTATCGAGAGAACCTAAATAAGCTATTACAAATCACACAAACAGCGAGACAAACGAATTTTACGTGGTTCGGCAAATTGCCTGCGTCCAAGGGGCAAGGAGGGGGGAGATCTACTATTAGAGAGAGAGAATACAAATAGGGTTTACAATCACACAAGTTAAACCTGCAAACAAGCTCTCAAATCTCACACAAATATCTCCCTCAAAAGGATGCTCAAACTCTAAAACAGCTACCAAGCCTCCGCTATTTTCTCCTGTTGCACGCAGCCCAAAGAGACAGTCACGTTTTTCCCTTTCACGAAGCCCCTTTTCACAGCCGCCTTTCTCTCTGCAATTTTCTCCTTGCACACCGAACGAAAAAACCTAGGAATAGGTATTTATAGCCTAGTGATGCGGTTATGCGAAACTAGGCCTTGTGATTTGTCCGCTAGACTCGTGCTCACATGTGTGGGTGTGGCCTCTCAAAAGATCCGTTGGACTCATCTTTTGTCCGCTGGATCTTGTGGCCTCACAAGCGTGGGTGTGGCCCCCACGTGACTCCATCGTTCACAATTCTCCACATCGGTGAAGTTTTTTCAAAACTGAGCCAACACCAAAGCAACCAAATGTCCCACTTGTTTTGTTCAGTACGCCGAGAATGCGAACAAACTCCAAATATCGGTATCAACTCACCAAACCGGTTGCATCATAAATGACTACCTACGTATCCTCTTGCCCAAGGAATCAAGCCTTCACGTAGTTCATCCAAACGGCCTTCAAAGGCTCTCAATCAAATAGAAAAGTTTACAACTCTTCACCAATATCACCAACGGATCTGCAACTGATAGTGCTCTCAATGGCCCCAAACTGAAACAAATCAAACACCTCCACCAGAGGTGAACCAATGGCTGTATCCAAAATATGTCCACCAGCTGCACTCAAATCCAAAACCAACTCATCATCTGCATCCAAATCCAAATAATCTCCAAACTGTGTCACCTCAGCTAGAATCCTAAACGATGTAGTATGATCTGGAGTATGTAGAGTAATCTCTACCCAATTTGAAGTAGCATCACCCTCCATCCGCTGTGATATCATAATAATTTGATCAATACTCTCCACCTGCCGAGAGTCAAATATGACATACCCGCTCAGAACAAAATCAGAAGCTCCTAACTGATAATTAAACGAACATCTGAATCCCAAACGTGCAATCAGATCAAATCTCACATCCTTGATGTGACCAAATGTTGGGCAATCAAATATCCGACGCAACCCAAAATCTAAAGCAGCTCCACCAAATCCAAAATCTCCACACGCAGCAATCGGCAACCTATGACCAATATGACCCAAATATGTCGAAGCTCCAAAACCAAAACCAATACTCGACAACTAACACCGATCCCCCTTAAGTAAGGAATGACCCATCAAAACTGTCATCTCATCTCGTCGCCCTAATGTCTCCACATCAATAAAGTGTCTCAAACTGTCATGAGCTCGGCACAAATGCAAGAAAGAACCCTTACCAAAGCTAGAACGACGGGTTACCTTTCTGCCAATACACTGTAGGATCTGAAATAGATATACTAGAACACTAGAGGGGGGTGAATAGTATTCTTTTAAAATTTATGCAAAGTAGATACTAAATTATAAGAAAAAATAGCAACAATCTTAGAAAATCACAATCACAAACAAGAAATTTTATACTGGTTCCACCAATCCGGTGTACATTCAGTCCCCAAGAAAATCTCGCTTGAGATTTCCACTATAATTTTGAATCAAGTACAAAATTAAAACCAAACCTGACAAATTTGCAAGTCCCTACAAATTGTAACACCAATTGACAACACCTTACCAATTTCACACTAATCTCTAGACCAAGAGATCAACCTCTCTCAAACCAAGAGAATTTTCCTTGAATCAAATAACTCAATTCCTATAAGCCTTGATTTGTAGTGTTATGTAGCAGTGGCTTAGATATAATTTTAACCTCTGGAAATTTGCCTAAATAATTTGTATTTTGAATAATGATCAAAGGCAATTTTAGAAAAGATCTTTTCTCAATACTTACCAAAATTTGAATTTTTAACTCTTGAAAAATGCACAAAGATTGAAGCTTATGAGTAGAAAATCATGTGCCATTTTTCTGAACATTTAACCTTTATATAGCCCTTGAAAGACAAAATTTTAAACTTTAAAAACGTTTAAAAACGGCTATAAACTGTTACTAATTCAAACTTTAAATTCTAAAAAAACTATATATGTAGTCGACTACAGGACAAAGTAGTCGACTACATTGAGTCTCAATAGAAATTATGAAGTCAGAAAATTTCTTAGTAGTCGACTATAATGGTTATTAGTCGACTATACTGTAATCAGATATAAACTTGATAGAAACTTGAAAAAACAGATTTTGCCTTTAGTAGTCGACTATAAAGTCGATTAGTCGACTACACTGTAAAATAACAAAAACTTAACAGAAACTTAAGAAATTATGTTTGCCTGTTGTAGTCGACTATAAAGTAGATTAGTCGACTACACTGTAAATTGACAGCAACTTATATTTCAGTCATAGGC